CTGTCCTCTTCCTGTGAAAAAGAGAGGTCCTTTGTTCCTTTTTCGATCCCTATTGTTTTGGAATCTGGAACCCAAGATGATAGTGGCTGGCATTTTCATGGTGCTAAAAAGAAAGAATTGAAAGTCTGTATTCAGTAAAAACAGAGGTGGAGACCACTATGGCTAATGGGCCTTCATGCCAATTGCATACCTCCAATCCAGGTAATACTCCTAAACCCCAGTGTGATGATTCCGTTCTCCCTATTGCTGTGCTCCAAGGTAGATGAAGTTGCACAACAGCCCAATTAACAAATTTGTTACCTATTGAGTCCTTGTCTCCTTCCTATCGTGCTTTTGTATCTTCCACGTCTTCTCTTTCTATTCCTTCCAGTGTTACAGAAGCCTTAGCTCATTCCAAGTGGAAAGGGGCTTGCGTTAGGGAATGAGGTCCCTAATGAACAGTGGTACTTGGGAGTTGGGACCTGGTAGATCCTCCTAAAGAGAAGAATATGATTGTGGTTGCAAACGGGCTTACACTACAATGCACAAGGTTGATGGTACAATTGACAGATACATGGCATTGTTAGTTACTTAGGGGTTTGCTAGACTATCAAGAGACATTTGCTCCCATGGCCAAGATGAACTCTATTCTAGTCCTTTTATCTCTGCTAATATGGAGTGGGTGTTGCACCAACTAGATGTTAAGAATGCATTTCTTCACGGGAATTTGCAGGAAGACGTGTAGATGTTACCTCCACCTCGATTTAGGGCTCATGGAGATTGGGGAAAAGTGTGTAGATTGAAGAAGGCCATTTACGGGCTAAAGCAATCTCCCCGGGCATGGTTTGAAAGGTTTAGTGACGCTGTCAAAGAGTTCGATATATTCAGAGTCATACTAATCAAACTCTTTTTGTGAAACATACTATCTCAGTACCATTGCTCTGATTGTATAAGTATATGATATTGTTGCAGCAGGGAATTGTCTTAAAGAAATCCAACAACTCGAGCTTTCTGACGAGGGAATTTGAAATTAACGATCTTAAATATTTTCTTGGGATAAAACTTGCTAGAGCCTAGAAGAGGAATCTTTATCACACAAAGGGAGTATGTGTTGGATCTCCTTTAGGAAATAAGGAAGCTTGGTACAAAACCTGTTGATACTCTATGGAACAAAATCACAAGCTTGATGCCAATAGGGATGAAGTACTTAAAGATGTCGGTATGTTGCTAAGGTTGGTGGGTAGATCGATATATCTTTCACTTATGCTCCAAATAATGCACATGCTGTGAGTGTGATCTGTTAGTTCATGCTTGCTCCTAGAACTTCTCATCTTGAAGCTGCTTATAGAGTTCTTAGATATTTAAAATCATCATGAGGTAGAGGATTGTTGTTAGTGAATCATGGGCACTTATGAGTTGAGTCTTATACAAATACATATTGTGCTGGCTGTATTATGGACCGAAAATCAACACAAGGCTGATGCACTCTAGTTGGTGGGAACCTGGTGACTTGGAGGAGTTAAAAACAATCAGTTGTAGCCTGGTCAAGTGCAAAATTAGAGTACCATTCCATGGTTCATGGTGCATGTGAGTTGTTGTGGTTAAAAATCTTACTATGGGAACTTGGTTTTCTTGTGAAGGGATCAATGTCCTTATGCTGTGATAACTGCGCGACCATTAGTATAGCACACAATCCTGTTGAGCATGATTTGATCAAGCATATCGAGGTAGACTGACATTTTATTCGTGAAAGAGTTGCTACCAGATAAAATTTGTCTTCCTTTATGCAAAGACAGAAGATCAGCTAGCAACAAAGGCTGTTGGTAAACATAGACTACAAGTTATCTTAAGCAAGCTGGGCATGATTGATATCTATGCACTTGGGGGCAGTGTTATTAGAGTGATTATTGAAGGCTTGGTCATATTGTACATAAGTCTCTAAGGACTTATCTGTCCTTTTCTTCATAAAAGGGCACTCTTGTATAGTGAGTAAATTTTTTATAACTTATATATATATATATATATATATATATATATATAT